GTGTGTGTGTGTGTGTGTGTGTGTGTGTGTGAGTCGCTGCATGTGTGTTCCCATCATCCCTCTGCCTCTCCAGGACGTCGTCTCTGAGATCAGTAAGCTCCTTCCACTGTGGCCTTGCGGTGGTGTGGTCGACCGGGTGGCACATGGGTGGTAGTTTGGTCCTCTCCTATTTCAGTGAGGAACATCTGAAGCCCCCCTCTTCTTCTCAGACAGATGGTCCCTGCTTTGCTGTGTTTAACGATTTGACAGGAATCTTTGCCAACACCACTGGCTATTAATATACCTGTCCCAGCCTTCTCCCCACCTTATATATGCACACATAAACATATATACAACCGTTTCTTCTAAAGGTCCTTAAAATGTCTTGTTTACGCTCAGTTCCTCCTTGTGACTCTATCTCTTGGCCTGCATACTGTGGAAATTTGTGGATATGAAATTGTCATGTTTCTGTTTATTACTTGGCTTCAATTCTGGCTCCAAACATCCCACAAGGCAATGAGCTAACTTTATTTTGTCTGCTTTTAACAGGGTCCTCATACACAGTCAAGAATTTCCTGCTGGATTGAATGAGCACAAGCGAGCATTTTGCAGTCATTTTGTAATATGGCAATTTCTATACAAAACAGAACAGTGATGACATGTTGGCTTTTGATTCTGAGGTCGCAGCTTAAGCTCCACTTGTGCTTCAGAAAAGAGATAATAGGAAGATGTTTCCATTAAATATTAACGAAAAAAAGAAATGGCAATTTTACGTCCATATCAAACAAACCTAAATACACTTTCAATTCAGTTTCATTTATACAGCGCCAAATCACAACTACAGTCACGTCAAGGTGCTTTATATTGTAAGGTTAACCCTACAACAATACATACAGATTATTGTATGTACAGAAAAAAAACCTACAATCATATGACCCCATATGAGCAAGCACTTTGGCGACAGTAGGAAGGAAAAACTCCCTTTTAACAGGAAGAAACCTCCGACAGAATCAGGCTCAGGGAGGGGCAACGATCTGCCATGACCGGTTGGGGAGAGAGGACTAGGCTGACTCAGATTTCCAAAAGCTTCTTCTTTACATTTAGACAACTTAACACCTAACAATCTCTGGTGTCTTTTCTTAATTTAATCCAGATATGACAAGTTTTTAAACTGACTTGAGGGTTGTAAAATTTTTACAAGAATCAAGACAGAGAATCAACCATTAAATGTCACTATTTGTCTTTATTAAGCACCAATTTATATGTATGAAACCATAAAATTGTTAAATTGAGAACTTTTCTTTGCACTTTCCATGTAGAAAATGCTGGAAATCAGGTCGAAGACTCTGTCAATGTCACCCAGACAATTACAGTGCTGCCTGGCGTGGGAACTGTGAAGGATGGACATAGTAGGGGCTCGATGGACACCAGGCCTCCTTTGCACAACATATTAATTCAGAGGGGTGAGAACAGGAAGACCCAGAGCTACAAGGTGGAATCATTATCAGGAGGAGCCAATACGGATGTGCACAACTTCTCTGTGGAGAGCAAGAGGGAGAATGAGTATGTAAGTCACACCAGGCAATGAGATTTCTGTTAAAACTATGAGATTATTGCTGTTTTGGAAAAAAAATACCTGGAATCTCACTAAATATATAAAATGCTCATGCCTTTCTTTGTATGTATTGTTTTGGGGCATTTTAGCCTGACTTTAATAAGCTAGTGGACAGAAGACAGGAATGCTGGGAGAAGGACCAGGGAGAAGACGCAGTAAATGCCCTCAGGGAAGCTTCAAACCTAGGCCTCAGTATTTAGGCCTTTACACACCAGACGTGTAAAATCTGTCTGACTATATCATGCGTTAATAGTAGTTTAAATTATGACCTCGTAATTTTGCTGGACAAATTTGCGGCATTTATTTTTTCTAACCAAGTTTGATATTTCAGATGTTTTGAATCTGATTAAACAGATTTGAGTAATGAGGCCACTGTAACAATTTTGACCATAGCTCATAATCTGCATCTGTACAGTAATAGTAAATAGTAAAGTAACACTATTTTTCCTCAGACGAATTTTCCCCAAACACAACACTTTCATTGTGGATATACATTACACGAGCAGTTCAGATCTGAAAAATTTGGTATTTTGTGTCACTTTTTTGCATCATGTGGATTGCTGAATCAGCAATCCAAATGCTTATGGCCATTTTTATTTGCTGTCAAATAAAAAGTGTTTACCAAAAGGACTACTGCACACCTGCTTTCTAACAACACTGCCTTGCACACTGCCCATCCCAGTAATGGCACAAATCCCAAGATGAGACGAAAGACTAGTGTCACAGTCTTAGCAGAATTTATTTATTTTTTGCTAGCCAATTAAAATGAGCTCTTTAGCCATTTTGTAGCACTATGGGGGAAAACAACTGCAACCAAAACAAAAACAACCAATTACAGAAATGAAAGTAAGTTGCTACTTGTAAAGTCTGCAACTGAGAGTTGTTAGGAGGTTGTTAGCTTGCTAGGTTTTTAGCTAGCTTTTCATCTGTTCTAGCTCTTTTCACTGCAATAATTATTGTACATTAAGACTAATATTGATTTTTGAACTCAAAAGTAACAGTAGTTGGTCAGCTGCATTATTTATAAGTACTTTTTATTAAAACTGTGCATCATAAAAATTATATATTCTGGGAAAGCAGCCTAGTCATAGAGTGTAACAGTCCGTAATAAAAATCCCATTTATATTCTCCACAGAGATTTTCATTATGAACCATAATTCTGTAACCATAAAAGCAGACTTACTGTGAGCTATTACATTATGACACAATGTAGAAATTCAGCATGATATCCACCTTGATTTAATACAAAAGCATTTTATTCATGATGTCATGGAAAATAACTATAATTGTAAACTGAAACAGAGATGTTTCTGATTTGTGAAGGCGATTGCAACCACAAATATTTAAACTGGCAAACTTCAGGTCACTTTTATACACACGTACAATACAAACTACAATATGTATGCAAAGCTATTATTATATGGCACTGATAACAAATATTTTTGAGACATTACATTTGAGAAAAAGGTTGGAAGTCGATCACTGTGGAATCAGGGATTTGCAATACATTATTTTCTTTACCATTAAAAGTAAATATGTACAGTCTTGTGGCATTGCCCCTCCCTCCATTTCTTTTATTATTATTTTTTTCCAGAAGAAGTCTTTTTATGATTATGATTTAGCCTATAGCTAATCAGCTTGGTTCAAGGCTTAAAACTCTTTATATAAGAATTTTCTGGAATATCAATATTCCAGAAAATGAGAGAGAAATGCAGAGCAGAACTCTTCACCGTGTTTCAAACAACGGAACTTTTTTGCTAGCTAATTAACTCACCAACTTTATTATATTTTTTAACAACATTAAGTCTGGATAAGTTATTCTGAAGAAATGCCATTAGAAGAGAGTTCAAATCAATAGCTGCAATCAAGACATGTACTGTATTATGCTTGCTGATATGCCACGATGCTGCGGCACCATTTGAAGCAGTGAAATGTAAATGATGATATGTGTTTGCACGTTGTTGAGGAATATTTGCAACCCAGGTTTCAACAAACTATACCAAGTTCTGACACTATTTAGTGTTGAATTAACAAAAGAAAGCTCTCTATAAAGATCTATAATCTATAAAGAAGCAAACTGTGCATTAGCCAGTTTGTCTCATAGATAAAGTGGGTCAACATTCCACTGTGGCCCAACTATGATCGCATAAATGCATACTGTCAAGCCATGGTAGGTGGTATGAATGTGTAGCTTCTTTCATGTGCAGGAAAGAAACAAAATACAAACAATATGGCAAATCTCTCATTATAGCAGAGCTATACGGTGCAATTTGTGGTCCAAAAATCCACAGGGTACTTTTATGTTATCTACTATTGTTTAAACACCAGTAGTTTTGATTACAAACATTTTGTAACAGAAGGTACCACTTTTTCACAAAGTGACTATCTCATTTTGGGATTTAACCTCTTCAACCTGGACCTTACAGTGTGTTTGTTTCTGCACTTCGACACGGGCTCAGCATAGGTTGCTCAAACTTACAGAACTTTATTTAAAACCGCAGGAAAAATCCAGAAGCTCAATGGCATGTTAAACATATTATAAGAATAAGTATAAGAATAATGGATTACATCAGAATTGATAATACGTTTAGCTTTGGAGCCGATTAGTAGGATAAAACATTAAAGGTTCAACACGGTACCTTTTATAGGCTTTGATGTTCACCACAAACTTTTGAACTTGCATGGCTGTGCCCGGTGTTCTTCCTGTTTGTGAATGTGTAAGGATGGCGGCCAAATATTAATGCTTTTGTTTGCTATGTTGCTAGGGGCCATGTCGGCGGGAGATGGAGAGCATCCTTAACAGCCTTAAAATCAGCAACGTGCTTAACCCGAGAGGCTTCCGCATACCCAACTGTGACAGAAAGGGTTTCTACAAGAAAAAGCAGGTGACTGGTTCTCCCTGCTGTTTTATCTCTGTTGTTTCTTTATACCTCGTCTCTTTCCCTCAAACACACACACACACACACACACACCCACACACACACACACACCTGCGGACATACAAATAGACCCACCGCATGCCTGAACACTTCCAAAGAATCCTCAAAGACTCATCCCAACCACCCACACTTACACAATCCCCCTTTTTTGCAGCCCAGGTTGCCTTGACAGCCACATCAACACTATATTATCAGAATGGCTAATAACCATGTATTACTCCAGTAAATGCACTCCAGCCGTCTGACTCATGCCTCACAGGAAATGAAGTCGGTCAGGTGTGTTTGTGGGTGTGTGGTGTGGGAGAGTATGGGGGGTAGGGATGTAAGAATGTGGTCCAGGAGTGTGTGTGGCATGGTAGATGTGGCAGCAGGGGAGTATATGTATGGCGCTTGTTTGATGGCAGTAGTTTGGTGTGGGAGAGTAGGTGTGGGGTGCTGTTGGCGAGGTAAAAAAACAAACAGGCTGTCACTGGTTTAGTTTTTCGCGTTCGTAGTGCAGACTGGGGCCACCCATAGGCTACTCATTTGAAAGATGGCAGGGGGGAGCAAAGAAGCTGACATTTGGCAGAGCACTGTAGGTGGGTGACATGTGCTGTGACCTGAGGGAAAAAGGGATAAGACGGCGGAAGGTGGTGGATGAAGAGGAGGGCTTGTGGGCCATTAGTGAGACACACAATGTGACAAATACCACTATCCAATTTCCTGGGGTGGGGAGTCTTATCGGAGGGATTCCACAGGCCCATTCTGAGAAAAGCATGAGTCACCGAAAACCCCCTACAAGCACCATGAGTCAGAGTCCAACTCAAGCCATAACACACACACAGAAAAAAAAAAAGAAAGAATTGTCTTCTAAATTCTTACCTCACTCTTTCCCCACGGTCTCTCCACAGTAGTTTCATTGCTACTTTCATTAAAGTCAGCCTCTACCTTGCTCATTTCCTGGATTCCTTCAACAAAATATCTACCGGGAAAGTGTCAGTTCTGGTTGGAGTGTTTGCAAATGTGTGTGTGGCAGTGTGCCAGCTCCTGTCGCCCTTTTCTCAGAGCACCAGTGGGGTGCGGAGTGTTGTGTTAAAGCCGTCTCAGGGGATGTGCCTTCACGGTGTGTTGTAGAGATTTATGACCGGAAACATGGTGAAGAGGAGACCGTGTGAACCGTCTAGGGTGACAATACTTTGAAAAGAAGGGAGCAGGGAAAGGAGGTGGGAGGGATGAGGTTGGGGGGAAGGACTAAACAGAGAAAAAAGTAGCATAACTTTATACCTAATATGCAGGTTCTGTACCTCTGTATGAGTATATCCCCTCAAATATGAAATGCTGTAGAAATGTAGCTTTTTATTTAACTTTTAGCGATGATGGCTCAGAGGGAACTAAAATTAAGAACTTTAAGTCAGCGTTTTGCATCCTTAATTGCGTTACAGCACTTTTGAAGCGCTTGTTAGGAAGACGCTGATGATGGATTAAATAACATTTTCACACACAGATTCACAGAAGTGAAAAAGGAGAACAGAAGTTATACTATTCCAATTGTGTCTATGTTTCTGAAGTTCCAGTAAATAACTGTGTGTTTATCTAAACCTGAATAGTGCATGCTGCGTGTCCGTATCTGCAGCTTAAGATGAAAAGCCCTTAAAGGCCACATATAATTGTCATTTGATTTTTTTTTAAGTACAACAGCAGACAAAAGCGATTTAATAGATGTTGAATTTCAGTTGCAGTTTTTGGAGTTTTTTTTTCCACAACTTTTGCTTAAAGTACTATCACGTCCGACAGTTGATAATACGAGACCTCTTCCTGGTAGTTTCAGGGAAACCAGAAAGTCCTGTATTCAGCTTAGGGACTTTTTTTTTTGAAAGGCAGGAGCTCAAACCATTTTATGTGCTAAGTGTAACTGCTTTTCTCATTGAAATCAGGAAATGGGCCTTAAAGATTTTTTCAAAGTCACTGCATGTGGGTGGGCATGGATTTGACTCATTTCAGTAACAGTTAATTCTAACAGTGACATTTTTAATGGCCAAAGACAAAAAAAAATCAATTAAATAACCACTTGATAGCTTATATAGCTTATATTTCTGCTGAACTCTCCGTGTAATTTGCTCAGTTGTTGCAGAATGTATCTTTCTGGGATTATGCTGGCATGTTTGTTGTTGAGCCATTGACTGTGAAAGGTTTTAATTAGAGTTGGGGAGTAGAGAACGGCATGTAATAAAACTAGTAATTTAACAGCATTTTCCCGGAGCTTGCTGGTAGTTAATTAACTTCTAAAACTAAAACTAAAATTGTGGGCCATAAAAAGAATGGAAGTTTAAAAAATATGACTTGTCTACTGTAATGAAGGCTCTTTTCCTGTCCAGATCCTTCCCACTATGATGGCATACCCAGGTGAAGATCCTGTCATGGTACTGTGGTGGCCATCCATAGGCATCCATAAGCTGTATTGCATCAGCAGGGGTCATTGTTAAAATGTGATAACTTTTTTTGTAGTGGGCTGAAGCTGGACTTTGCCCTTTGCCACTATTTCTATTTGCATTTTTTATTTTTTTTTGGATAGAATTTGTTGGTTCAGTCAAAGTGCGGTCAAGAAATGGTGGTGGTCTCAGGCCATGTCCACACTAATACGTTTTCATTTGAAAACACATCTTTTTCTCTTTGTTTTGGCCTTCCGTCCACACTGAGGCGGTGTTTTGAAAACGCCCTCCAAAGCGGATACTTTGGCATCACAGTGTGGACACAGCGTGGACAGCGAACAGTGTGGACAGTGAACCCGGAGCCTTTTTGAAAACGATGACACATTTTAGTCATGTGATGCAGTCGTGTGACCAATTAAACTAAGATAGTGGAGGCATTAAACAGCAGTTGTTTTGTTTGCTCTCAATCTATTAAAGATTGATATCAGTCTGTACATGCTCCAGATAGCTTTTCTTCAAATTCTTTAATTCTCACTCGCTTTTGCAACTTTGCACTTTTGTGTTACTCACAGCAACAACTCCACCTCATTGTTAGTCCATTTTAAAAAAAGGTCTTGCGTTTCACGCATGCGCAGTACAGTAAGTGTTTTCGACCTTTTCAATGTGGACGCACAACTCTGTGAAAGCGACTGAAAACGATAGTGCAGACAAAAACACCGTTTTCAAATTCATCCAGGCTACTGTAGACGTGGCCTCAGGATCTACTCTCTGCTTTTTGCAGACGATGTGGTTCTGTCATCAAACAGTAACCTCCAGGTCACAGTGGCAGTGGGGTGGTTTGCAACAAAGCGTGAAGTGGATTTGGTGAGAATTAGCACCTCCAAGTCTGAGGCTATGGCTCTCAATGGGGAAATGGCGGCATTCATACTTGCCCCCAATGGAGGAGTTCATATCTCAGGGTCATGTTCATGGGTACCCTGCCATCCTTTATGATGGAAGGATGGTGTGGTGTCTATGATCAAGAGCTGTGTGCGAGGAGCTCATTTCCAGTCAGGGCAGGAAATAAGTTTCTTGTTCCGACTCTACAATAGAGGCAGGTTGAGGAGCTTTGTGATTCAGAAGGGATCCTTTCACATTGGAAGAGCTGGTCTAGGCATCTGAATAGGATGCCTGCTGGTTGCCTGCTTAGTTAGGTGTTTTGGGCATATCAATGTGTGGGCTGATCTCAGGACTAAACCAGGATACACTGGAGAGAGAGTGCCTCTGGGCTGGTTTGGGAATGCCTCAGAGCCTAAGTGCCTGCCATGGATAAGTGACAGAAAGTGGATGTTTGCCATCCCTTTTCTCTTCCAGAGACATTTATAATAAAATAGGATTTGTAATGTGTCCACCTTCATTGCGGTCTGCTGTTCAATTTTTAGAGGACTGAATGCAGTTTTCATTCCATTCCATCATCCTTCTCCCTGCATAGCTATAGGAGTATGTAAATGAAGACATTTATGAAAACAATGCGTGGCTATGAATATGGCTTAATGCATTTGTCAAAACAAAGTAGACGCTTCTGGCACACCATAACTTACTTCCAAGACAACAAATTGTGAAGCTGTCAAAGCTGACCCTAAAGACACATGCGTTTGGTCAAACATTGCTGCACGAGTCAAACAAAAAGGTTGTTATGTATCCTGCAAGTGTTGCTGGAGTTTTAAACAGGTAACCCAGTGACGACCCTAACTTTAACCCCAACCCTATATTTTTGAGAAATATATGTTTTTTGAAAAAAAAAAATGTAAACAGTTTTTAGGATCAGTTTGAATAGTTATTTTCTTTTTTCACTGTTAGCCAAGACTTGAGAAGAACATTTTCTTAAATAAAATAAGTTAGGTTATAGTTAGGGTTAGGGTTTGAATTGTCATGAATCCATAGGCAACTTGTGGAACATGTGCAAAAGGGTGAGTGTGGCTCAGAGCTCATACAGCAATGTCATTATAGATAAACAAATGTTCAGACAAGTTGTCACATGCTATTTGAGCTGAATGAGTTATTCTGCTGCGTGCAATACCCCCACCTGGACTCAAGTCTCTAGAAGGCAGGGTTCTGACTCACAGACATGTATGTAAACCCAAAGCTGACTCAGTTACCAACTGAATAATGTACATTGAACTACTTTTTTCTCAACAGTTTAACATTATTTTACACCATTGGTTAGGTTTGCTATGGTTCAGCTTGTTCCACTGTCAAGTTAGTGGTAATTTGGAAAACAACACTTTCAAAGTGGTTCCCCGGCACTATTTTTATTTAATCATATTTTGGAAAAAGAAAAAGTATTAGACTATTTAGCTCCTATGGACTGTCCATATAAGTGCATATACTCCCTCTCAAGTCAGTTCCTCCCATCCTGGAATGACTCCAACTCCACTATAATGAACTGTAGGTAGCAAGGTTAGTCGTGGCTCTACTGCAGCCCTGGTGAGTTTGCTTGCGTGGCACATGGACTGTTTCACTATCCGAGACAGATTCTAGTAAGAGTCGCTGTCTAGC